TTGCTAGAAGCAGTTTTTTTTTGACAGAATTCTTGTCCTCGACATGTACTTAATACAACTACAACTTGAAACTTATACATTACATATTTTTGGAAGAATTAGAAGTTTGGAAGGTGAGCTCGGATTCGAAAGGCATGGAGGGCAAAAACTCAAAAAAATTCACGTGTAGAATGAATTTTTTGATAGTTTAAGCCCCTTCCTGTGTCAGGAGACTGTGAAAATATGAAGAAGCCCTAATCAGTAGTTAGTCTTCAGTCTCATAATGAACAGCACCAAGTTAATAAGCCGGTGAGCTAAACGCGGTATTCAAAATTTCTTAATAAGTAGCTTTTTTGAACATGCAACATGCTAAAACATGTGAATTATGAAGCTTGCTTGTAAAATACCAGAATATTTTCAACGGTCAAAGAAGAAAATTTCAACGTGGCACTCATCATTGGGTGCCATTGTCCCATGCGGCGGCCGGCGTGGCACCACCGGTGGGTGCAGTTGTCGCCAAAGGGTTAGACAACACATGGAAGTGGTGCCAGAAAACGTTTCCTGCATGTTGTAGGGAATTGCGCCTGTTTCTATGAAATAAGCTCTTTTTTGAGCGGAGTCAAAGCGGCTAAGTATCTATAGTCTTTTTTTTGGCATTTTTAGGACAGCTTAGAAATATGATCCCCCATTTTTGTATTCCATGCAATCGTTTCTGTAACATGAAGGAAATAGCTTTCAAAACTCTTCTCATATACCGAGTGACTTTTGGGGTAGTTGCTTGAACCGTCATGTGCTAGCTCTTCTTGTCATCTCAACGTGAGGGTTCCTCATATGGATCTGATTTTGCGGCCGTTTAGTAGGAAGCGTTCGCAGGAAGTATGCAGAAGGACTTCCATAGTAGCTGAGAATAAATTCTGCCTATGCCTTGTTATATTTTTTAATTACATGTTCAGTGTGTCTATAAGCTCGTGCTCAACTCGAATGCTCGTGTAGTTCTAGTGACTTTTCTACGGTGTTCTATTTCCGTGTTGATCCTCCAGAGTTTCAACACCCTTTGTTGTCATATTCTTTCGTTATTCGTTGGCGTCATGGCATCGCATTATGATGTGTGCGGCTGCGGTTAGCCAGCTAAGCGGATTAAGCTTCTTAATTCGTGTAACTGCCCTTTGGTGCACTAGTGTTTAGCGATAGATTTGTTTTCATTACTGCTGTAGTACTTTAAATTTGTTAAATTGAAATCCAGTATAAAGTGAGAATGAAAGAGTTACATCATTATATGTCTCATCGTCTTCTCCTGGTGTCGCTTTGATCCAATACCGCAATGTGATTTATTGGTATCATATCGTTGCTTCAAATTAACATTTAGATTTTAGTGGGTATGTCCAATGCAACGAGTACAGCAAGTGGAGGAGATACGAAAGCGCCTGAAACAACAGTCGTTACTGAGGTGCCACCAAGCTTACACAGAGTGCTCTTGCTAATGGTGAAGAACTTTTTCTCGAAGGTAGGAAACAGAATTGATGTCATTTTGTCGGCTAATTGGAGATGAATCAATGCGTGGAACCTGTCGTCATCGCCTGCGCATCGCTGGCGATGACTCCCTCACGACCTCACGTCTGGCGGGGGCGTGCCCATACTGTATAAGCCTTGAACAGATACTACAATCATATACCTTCTCTTGCAGCCATACAATAAAGGCGTTCAACTCTTCTCTCTGTACATAGTTTTCCTCCTTCACATTAAATCCACTGAACCACCGCAAGGTGACATAAAAAGGGTCCACCATAACCCTAAGTCTCTAGTCACCCGCAAGCGTCTGGTGCACGTCCCGCCAGACGTGAAGGTTATGTCACAAGATTATAAGTTAAGGAACATAGGATGTATACCGTAACCCACGTTTGCGTCAGAGCGCGGTTGCAGGCTTTCCAGTGCACAATGCCAGCACTAGTGTGAGAGCGGTCAACGACGCCGCCCCTGCTGTTCGGGGCAGCGAACCCAAAAATGGAGCGACGTCGCAGCGTTCGCCTCGCCGCTTGCGCGACGAAGCCGAACACCGTCGCAGCGTTGGCCTCGCCCGGCGCAAGCCTTCTACATAAACGGCGCTTAGTACTCTGCGCGGGCCTGCTCGACGCATTCTCTCTTCGTTGAGAGGGTGCAGAGAAGACGAGAAAATCGATGACACGTGAGAATGCGCGCCCCAGTGCAACGTCGAGAAGGTTACGGTATACACCCTATGTTCCTGAACTTATAATCTTGTGGGGTTTGTGAGGGACGCCCGCCAGGATATGCCGCAGGCGAGATAGAACCTTCCACATAACTCAACGTTTGGGGTGCGCGGCGTATCTTGATGATTTATCTTGGTTTCGCCGTAGAATCGTACGTTCAGAACATCCGAACAGGCCGGTTCGTATGGGCTGAACGAGGTTAACCGTTTCTTAGGAAAATGCGAACGGGGGCATTTGTGGAAGTTGAAAAGGTTACGGTGCGCGAGGGAGGGGAGGATTTTGAGGATTTTTGAAAATTTTGGCAGAAAACTATGAAAGAAGCGTGAAATAGGGAGAAAGTAGGGGATTCGTCGGTTCTCTACAATTTTACCCTTCTCCTCGCCACTCGCTCCCGCGCAGTTTTGTGCGAGAAAAGTTGGCGAGTTGGAGCGTTCGGACTAGGCTAAGAATTTAAATGCTATGGAGGGTCACGGACGCGAGGGTGTAGTAGGGACGGCAGATGGGATTCGTGGGCGACCCCCATCCACAATGTTGTGGTAGGGGGTCATATTGGGACCTCCTGGTTAGAGGTGGTTTGTAAGTTTTTGAAAAACTGCAGGCGGTTGTGCTGCTGCGCACTTCTTACCACACAGCAGAGGTCTTGTGAATGCTTCTGTACCTACACGTTGAGTTGAAGAGTCAATCGTTGTACAGATCAGCTATTTAAACTCTCAGTGAATGTGAATATAAAATTTTCCTGTCCCAGAAGGATTCAAGGGTGGCAGACCTTTATGTAGCACTATCGAAATTTGACTCTAACCATATCGCGGACCACCCAGAATACAGGCATATACAGGGGGGGGGGGCAAAAAAGAGTCACTCCTACTCACATTCAAAACAGAATTAATTACACTTTGCCAAAACCAAACCGAATGAGCTCAATTGCATATTGAAGAGCACATTCTATTCTATCAAAAAATTGCATAGGGGCTTTCTACACCGACGACATCAGAAGATTTTCCCACGGAAACATGGTTCGCGGTACGAGCTCAACGGGGTCGTCGAGAAACCATAGACGATTACGACGTCTCTGAAACGCTGGTCAAAAGCCATTGCATAGTCAGAGCTAGTGTCCCTAAGAAGTCATTCACCAGTTATCCGATTGAAGAATTATGTAGCAGCTTCAGAATGGAGCGATTATGGTAGGCCTCCTTGAGCTCGACGGTGATGACAGATGACGTCATATTCTGGAGACGGTGAACGCAGCGAAGGTGGGCCTGATTCTGCTTATGGGGGACATCTAAGGAATTTCGTCGAAAATGAGAATATTTCGCCGTATAACTCCCAATAACAGCGGCATCCTTTGCGACAAGAAGTTCGATGATATGCGCCATGGGCGAAGTGACTTTTTGCCTCCCCCTTCTGTAGAAAAATAGAAAATACGTCAAAAATCAAATCTATCGTATTGCATAGGACGAAGCTTGTGTGGCGGCCTCGGTTTCTTGCAAATAATCCAACAATGTATCAGCTGTATCCTGTAGAGGGGTTATTTGCATTAATCATAGGTTCTCGTCATATAAATGAAATGATATTGGAGTTCCAGCAAGCTACGATGACTCACAATGTAATTATGAGTCATCATAGCTTACTGGATAATGTTGCTTTTTACAGGAACATTATCTAGTTGTCTACTACATAATGAGAGCCGTGTGCATTAGAGAGGAAAACCTGAGAAGCCGACTCAATTTCGACCAGAAGCAGTTGAGGCAGGTTTGTAGTCATTCGTTTTTTTTTTCCAAATATTGCTTCAAGCTTTTGACTTGACATGGTCAAGATATTTTTTCAGCTCCTCGCTGGGTTGAAGAATGAAAAGCTGGTGAAAGATCGCTTACTGCAACAAAAGAATGAAACCGGTAGAAACGTCTCCATCATTTTCTACTTTATCAACTACCGCGCTATTATAAATGTTCTTAAATATAAAATTGATCATATGAGGTTGGTTGTAATTTTACCGGCCTTGCTAGCTTATACTGTGACCTACCTTGAAAAAAAAAAAACATTCAGGCAAATGTTAGAGGCGAGGGAAAAGAATGAGTTGCAAAAGGCGAACTACAAGTGTGAGCAGTGTGGTGCGCAGTACGAGGTGATTCACGCTATTAAAAAGCTACCATAATAAATCTTCTCCATTTTTAGGACATGGACATTGATAGGATATTTGACCCACAAACAGGAACGTTGAAATGTTGGCGATGTCAAGGTGAAGTGACGCAAGATATCACGGGAGGACCTACTCAAGTTACAAGGTTCGCTAGAACAAGTTGCGGAAGGTTTTGATGTTTACATGGATGTTCTTTAAGGACGCTTCTAGCCCGGTTTAATGAGCAAATGCTCCCATTATTCGCAGCTATTCGGGAACTGGCTGGCATACAGCTGGCACCACATCTTCTGGAACCGGATATAAATCAATACCTGGCCGAGGAAGATAAAAGTTCGTACTTTTCTTTTGTTTGCCCACTACTTCTACTTAGTTTTATAACATCGACCGTGGTGAAAAATTGGTGGTGACATCAGTAATAGTGACATCTTCCCATTCATCTACACAATGAAGGGTGGCCGCTTATCAGTCAAATCTCCTGCCATTTCAGTTGGTCACAGTCTCCGTCGCCAATTCTGCTTACGCGTGTAACTCAGATTTACGGGAAGCCCCTATTTTATGCCTTATTCTCACCGCACAAAATGTGGAATCCATCGTATTCACTTCTAACTGTAGCTCAGATTTTACTTTTTTTTCGTTGCGCTCTCAGAAACATCTTATGAATTGGGTTGTAAGGGGAGTTTCTTGCCGTTTTAGACAGTTCAAGACTCAGTGCATAGAGCTAATTAAGTTTTCAGTAGTCTGCTACGGTTAACACATCTTTAGAAAGTGCGTTTTTGCTCTATCTAAAGATACTGTCAGCTTTACTTTATATTGACAACTTTACATCTTTCTCACTTTTTTCGAAGCAACACTGCCAACGGGGTCCATACCTTTGATACTCATGGTGTAGAAATAAAGTGCTAGCCTAGTCAAGAACATGAGAAGTGTCACTCAACAAGACTCGCCTTGGAAATGCGCTAGAAGGGTTTTAACGCTTTCGGAGTGGGCGCCGACATCATTCGGTAACGCTCACTTGCCAGCCGTAGAGATTGCGTGCTTGGACGCCGGTCCTTGCGCGATTGTGTGAACTGTCCCGCGTTCCGAAATTAATGCTGCCTCTTTTTGTTTGGTTTTATTTTCTGAACTCATTTGATTATCATGTCTCTTTGTTTGTACTGATGCATATGTCTCTGTTTACTGGTGATATGCGATTGCAACCGCATTTCTTGCTGGCACGAGCCACCAATAAATGCCGGCGGAGCAAGCTAGTTCAGACAACTCGTCCGGCCCGCCCCTTCCTTCATCTCAGAAGGAAACAGAGGGATTCTTTATTTAGGGGCTTCATTGGCGGCTCTCTTCGCTTTTTTTCTATTTGCAGGCAGCTCGGCATTTACAATTTCATTACCAACCATTTTACCCCGCGAATTCTTTCTGGAATTGTTGCTTTGAAGTCAGCCTTGAGTAAAATTTGCCCCATGAGCGAATCCACGACTTTCCTCTTCTGACCCAAGTCGACTTGAATCAGTGCAGAAAGGAGTGAAATCTACTCATAATATAAATTATTTGGTTGGTCTCGCACAAGAAAAGTGCTGTGCAACGTTATTGGGAGGTCATGTAGGGATGGTGAGAGGAACGCATCGTTTTGTACTCCTTCTGACTAGTAAAGGACGCCATTCGTTACGGGTCCCACTGCCTCCTGCTACAGTGAACCCTTCAATGTGGAGCGGGGAATCCGTGAGCCAGGGGCAGTGTCGCCAGTCTAGGGGGGTGGGGGGTGAGGGCAGACACTTGACATGCGTGAGAAGCTGGAATGTTCGAATTCAACCGCGATCCCCGCGGGTTAAGGCCGCGGGTTGAGGCAGTGGGTCCCGCAACGAATGGCGCCCTATACTAGTCAGTAGGAGTACAAAATGATCACTCCATTGGTGAAGGTGCTGATGGTGGTTCGTGATGTCGAAACGTGGTAGGAATTTAGCTGGGAAAAGTTGATCAGGCGTACTGATTTGTGGTTCCAAGTCACATGGAGTAGGTTGAAAAGTTCGGCAAGGCCGGTAAGAAATTGCCGCAAAAAATCGCGGTACCATAGATGTCCCTCCCTTCTTCTGCCTGTTTTCATCCAGTGAAAACTACCAATTCTCATTCGTATTGTGATGTGCAATGTAGAATATATTCCTCGTAGCAACCTATAAACTATAGCTGAGCAGTTCGACCACGACCAGGGTCAATGAAACCTTGCAATGTGACACTTCACGAGGAGAACATTGCGTCGCCTTTTATGCGGTCTGCGACCGATGCAGCTCCACGAATCCAGGTGGAGGTTCTAAAGTGGAACTGTATAGCGAGTTGTCATAATACTCCGGAAGATTGACGGATGCACTTAGCAAGGGCCACCAGCTCTAGTATGGGATGACTCCTCTGTGTGATGTACCTAGGCCCCGTCCGAAAAAACCAACCCTGGAATTAGCTGGGATGCTGAACTATGACATTGACATCACTTACTTACCTCTAGACCTCTAACCTATTCATTACCACTTTTCAACCGTGGAATAGCCTCTGTTTCTTCACGAGAAATGCAATTCGCCGAGTTCTTCAAGCGCATGTATCCGCATAAGCGTATGCATAAGCGCAAAAGTGGAATTTGTGTTTGAGGGGGGGGGGCACAAAGTAGTAGTAAATTTGTCTTCACTCGGAACACTTCAAGGTTAACAAATAAATAAATGAATTTAGCCGCGGAGACTAATCAGCAACTGCTTGACTTTTCGACGTCAGCTGGTGGCACGCGTGCCCAGCTTGGTGGATCTGCCCATTCATATCATGCTGGTCCGTCAATCAAATATGCTAATGCTGACCAAATTACGGTGGATTTGAATGCTGACACAAATAGGTAAGTGGTATTCAGGTTATTTCAGTGATCTACCCTTCCATTTTTTCTGTTGAACTGTCTTGTGGTCCTTCTATTTTGACATATTTTACGCTGTCTCTACGTACTTCTCTATGCGTTTTCTTGAGAATTTTCATTCCATTCAGCAAGCCAGTCGAGGAGGCTAAAGTGGTACCAACATGGCTTCAAGACGATGCGATTGGTGGTGGCGAACAAAACGTTGCAGATGAAGAATTGGCAATTGGAGCTGGCGGGTATGATATCTTCTTGATTTTGTTCAATTTCAAATGATACTTTTTTCTGATACTGTTCCCTTTTGATGATTGGGAAAAGTGTTAATGCTTATACCATATGATCCGAACTCGTGTGGATGAAGAACGTCATTTTCAGTACCGAGGCAATGCCTCATGTTTCATCGTCGGTGTCCTTAAGTTTGATGGCTGAATTGGAGAATATTGAAGAGCCCCCACAGAAACGGTCACGGCCCAACGAAGACGAGAATGGCGCCACAAACGATGGAACAGAAGCTGAGGAGGATGAGGATGACGATGAGGAAGAAGAAGTGGTCCTTGTTGCTGGAAAAACGGTTAGTTCACATTTGCAAGATCAGTTTTTCACAAACGGACAAATCTCACTCACTGACATCCCACATAGCCTACTTATTGAAATCTGGTCATTGGATTAGACATTTGTTCGCGACGTTAAGTATCAAGCCGAATTATTAGAAAATGGGAGCAGGCAGTATGAGAGTGCTATGGGGTTCAAAAATGAATCTCTATCTTCGTAGTGATTTGTCATTGCGCTCGCACAGCTACATTGTCGCCATTGAGAAGACAGAAAGGAATCTTCGAAAGATCAAAAATAACGTTGTGGTTGATTTCGGACATTTTATGAGGTTACAACGGAGAAAAGGTCAGGAGACCAGAAGGTGAAGAGAGGAGAGAGGCAGGAAACGAGAGTTATCCACACCCAATAGTTACCGTCCAAGTGTGTACAGGGTGGGCAAAAATTACGGTAACAGGATAAAGTGTTCATGGAAGAGCAATTCGGCCAGCAAGACACACGTGGACCCCAACAA